GTCCTTCAGCTCTCCCAGGAGGAGGACCCTAATACCGGCCTACCTCGAAGGGCTGTTGTCCAGTGGACCACAACTCTCCCAGGAGTGCTCGAATGTTCCTAAACGGCGGTGTGCTATTACCCAGAAGCTCTGTGCAAAAATCAAGCTATTCGGGGCAGGGGAGGTTAAAGAGAAGGGTGGTCTGGAGGAGAGCTCTAACCTGATGCTGAGCACCCTGCCAATGACTCTATTAAAAAGGAGACCGAATGACTGGGAAGCCCCGGACAACCTTGCCCGTCTCGCTGGAATAAAAAGCTACAGCCCGTCGTCAGGGTAATCCTAACCCTACCCTGGTGCACACCCTAACACTAACATAGGGGTATAGTTCTACTGAAAATAGAAAAAGCCTTCCTGGAGTAGCTTATTCTGCCCAGCTCATCATTTCTGCCCCTTCTAAACACCCTCTAACCATCAGAATCACTCCAGGACACCTTGTTTTGCTAAACTTAACCCTACCCTGGGGCACACCCTAACCCTAACATAGGGGTATAGTTCCATTGGAAATAGGGTGATTTTGAAAAAGTCTTCCTAGAGTAGCTTTTTCTGTGCAGCGCATCATTTCTGCCCATGCTAAACACATTCCAAGCGTCACAATCCCTCCAGGACACCTCGTCTTCCTAACCCTAACCCTACCCTGGGGCACACCCTAACCCTAACATAGGGGTATAGTTCCATTGGAAATAGGGTGATTTTGAAAAAGTCTTCCTAGAGTAGCTTTTTCTGTGCAGCGCATCATTTCTGCCCATGCTAAACACATTCCAAGCGTCACAATCACTCCAGGACACCTCGTCTTCCTAACCCTAACCCTACCCTGGTGCACACCCTAACCCTAATATAGGGGTAAAGTTCCACTGAAAAGAGGGCCATTTTGAAAAAGTCTTCCGAGAGTAGCTTTTTCTGCCCAGCTCATCATTTCTGCCCCTTCTAAACACATTCCAACCATCGGAATCACTCCAGGACACCTCGTTTTCCTAACCCTAACCCTACCCTGGTGCACACCCTAACCCTAATATAGGGGTAAAGTTCCATTGAAAAGAGGGTGATTTTCAAAAAGCCTTCCTAGAGTAGCTTTTTCTGCCCAGCTCATCATTTCTGCCCCTTCTAAACACATTCCAACCATCGGAATCACTCCAGGA